GTACATTAATATGACATGTTTACGGGATTCATGGATTAGTTCAGTGAAGATGGCACTAGAAACCCATCCCTGCTACCGCATTGCTTTCAATGGAGAAATTTCGATCGCTTTTAGTTTGCTTCAGATTAACTGACCTGCTCAAGAACGTCATAACAGAGAAATTCGCCTAGGTACTTACAATAAAAAAAATTGGAGATAGATGACCATTTTTCTTTTCGATGTTTTTCTTCAATAAGCAGACACTTAGAATTTATTAGGATACAAAAGCTGACGTTTCGGGTGATCCTTTATGCGGACACAGATCGGTCTACCCATTTTGCCGGCGTATTCGTCCTCGCACGCTTCGCAAGAGATCAGATAGACTGTGACCGAACTCATGAAATCACCGTCTCTACCGTTGGGCAAATTATGAAGTATTTCGTTATACATAGACGGTCATATAGGCGGTTGCGAACTAGCTGGCGTCTTGGAGTGTCCGAAGGTATTTCTATCACTCTTGCGGAATTCTATAGATCAGTCCTTATTAAGAAACGTTTTATAACTGCACTCATTTCGTTTGAAACAAAGGGCAAGAGGAATGGAGCCCTGTTTTTGCTAGAATTATCGCTCTAGGGCGTGGTATTTCCTCTATGCCTATGCCGAGAAGCTACACCTTCGTAACCTCGCTCTGTGCGGCTGCTATTCACGAACTAACTGAAATACTTACAATGATTAAACGGCCCTGAAGAAGGCGAAACCGCCGAAGCGTCGGCTATTGTATCCTAATAAATTCTACAATAACAACCTCGTGTTTGCTCACTGAAGAAAAACATCGAATTATCAGTCAGTGCCGAGGTTTAAAAAAAGTCGGTCTCGGGAGTTTCGTAACCATTTCTAATGGCTATTTGGCGCCCCAGTTTCGAGGATTCTTCCCTCTGCTCTCTACTTGTGCACACGCTGGTGGCGTTTCGAAACATATTTATTATAAGCGCTCTTTTAGTTAGTGAGAGATGAGAGCAGAGGTAATGAACCGCTATATTCTTACTGCTTGGCTTTCGATACCGTTTTGTGATGTAGCCATTTTCGAATAGGTTAATTGGAACGTTTAAAAATGGCAGCCAGTTTTCTTTGGTTTTCTCACGGGTGAATTTTACGTACTCTGACTATTCGTTCAATAACTTAGAGCATTTGTCCATCTCCTCCTGTGTGGAGCAGATGACAAAACAATCATCTTTATACCTACGGTAGAGTAACGGCCTGAGATCGATTACTGGTGCTTCCACTTTAGACATACAGGCAGCGGCAAGGGTTGGTACCAGTCGCTGTCCCATTGCCAACCCTCTAATTTGCGCGTAATATTTCCCGGACCATCTGAAGATCGAGCAGTTTAAACAGACCTTCAGGAGGACCATAAGCTGCTGAATCGAAAAGCCATACATGTTAATTGCTCTTTTGTGTTGCCCAAGAAGCGCGCGTATGGCTTGCATTGTGGAGTCGTTTGACACGTTAGTGTAAAGGGCTGTAACGTCGAACGACTCCATAACGTAAGCGCTTTTAGGACGTACCTTGCGCAGGCGGTTTAGGAACATTCGGGTGTTCGTGAGATGGGCTGGTATGTGCTTAAGCTTAGGTTAACGATTAGATTTATAAACTAAGCTATTCTATCCGTAGTCCCGTCTACACAACTAATGGTGGGGCTAACTTTAAAGGTGGAGGGGCCGGTAGACGTCAGGTCATCAGCGGATATTAACTTATGGATCTTGATAAGTATAGGACGGGACATGTCGGCACTTCGATCTTTAGATGCGAAATGTCTGCTGGTTTTAAACCTGCTGCGCTTGCCGTTTTGACCCATTCGCTGTTCAGTTTTCGATTTTGACTTCTGAATTCCTTTTCAGTAGATGCGCGATAAAGAGACGCGTCTTCGAGATGTTTTTCTGTTATATCGACATCTAGCTGGCGAGGAATTACTACAAACTCTCTGCCCTTATCACTAACCGATAGCCTAATAGTCTTGATTTTATTAGCACTCGAACCTGTCGCATACCAGATTTTTGCGCAACTGTAAGGTTCGGACTAAACTTTTTCGCGTGATAAGTGGCTAAGGACTTTGAGTGTTTCGCTCGAAAATATGCGAAATTTTATATCGACTTCGTCGTTTGGCCTTGCTGTTTAAAGAATAGTCGAGGAAAAGGAAGTGGCGGTAGTGCCCCTACTTCTCGTTGTTCCTTTTTATTTCGTGTCTCAATTCTAGCATTCCTGCAGAGTCGATCTTCGAGCTCGTGCAGGTTTCACGCGATCCTATGCAATGTTTCTTTAGAAATGGGTTGCGCTGATGAGAAACCTGGACCCAATTCTAATAGCGAGTGCGCTTCATCAAGTAGAGTTATGCCTCCTAACACGGTGACCCTTGACATTTCTGGCACGTTATCGACCACGTTTTCACTCCTAGTACGTTCGTAAACGATTTTGCTTTGTTTAATTGAGGCTATTTTTTGCGAATGATCTCGTAAATTTTGAAACTTTCTGCATAAGGTTACTTCAGCATTCGACCTAATAGAATCGCAAATCAAAATTGACCCACCCACTATTCGCCTCCAAAGGGAATCCTCCAAATACTGAACACAATAAGTTTCCTTCGACTTGCACTTCTTCAATTGTGCGTACATGGTGTTCTGCTTGCATCGAAGAGAGGCGCGTAGTAGTCGCGTTTCGATGTCCAGTACTAGTTGGCTGTCTTTCGCTAGGCCGCATACATCGCGTAGCCGTTTTCGTTTGATAAAGTTCGGCACGACTCGGTATTTCAGGCAGCGGCAGAGAAAGAGTATCGTTTGCCTAGCTAAGACAATAGACAAAATATTGTCTTAGTGACAGGACTTCTTTCACAAGTCGAAAATATTCTGCTGGCACTTCACGTAGCAATCCCCAAGAACGGCAACATTTTTCTTTTATTTCCTGAATAAAAGAGACTATTCTTGCAGGGACAAGTGTTGGTGTGTCGTGCGCTCCAGTTCCTCCGCTATACAGTAACGTTCCTTTCACGTATATTCCGCCAAACGAATGGCAAACACGAATCAAGGTAATAGTTATTTGCTTAAGAGAAACTTTTAATAAGCTCTGGTACAGCATTTCTATATTATAATAGAGAGATCTCTGGACAGAATTGCGATGGAAGAGGTACACCCTCCGAAAAATCACCACTATTGAGAAAATGTACGTTTTCCAAGAATTACCGAACTAAAGCGTTAGCAAAAAAAATTTTGCGACTTTAAGATAACTTCTTCACAACAGAACGAAACCAAAAATGGCCCCTACAGTAGTGGTACCCTAACACTCGCACTTGACATGAAAACAACGTGTCAACACCATATGCCAATTGTCATCGTTAATGATTGAGTGATTAAGCACGTACCAACAAACTGCTCCCACGTGGTGCAACGGAAGTGCTCATGGAACTCTCTCACTTCTAGTATACGAAGAGCATCACACGTTTGGCATCATGACACTTTTTTGTGCTCACCGACTGTCAATTTTCCATTTCAGAAAGATTTTTTTCCTCCAAAGTACTAAAAGGCGCGCTAAAACTTCCCAATATTATCTCCAGTTGTCACCCAATAAACATGTTGTTGTCAAGACAGTCGTCATTTTTGACACTGAGTTACTTATAGCTGTGCGTTTGAATAGAAGTACTCAATTTTTCTGGAATGTCAAAGGTGTAGAAACTCATCTAAAAATTAAGTAAAAACTGAATGAAGATCCAGCTGGTGTGGTAGTTGCAAACGTACAATCGCAGTTTGCATCCGAGAAGAATCCAGACCAGACGGTATACCACGAGGCGGTTGCACATGCTAGCGTATTTAATAAATAAGACAAGTTTCAGGAATTTCGGATCAAAATAGGCTGTGCGCCAGAAAAGATTAATGAAACATCAGAGGTATGTTTCATTAGCCTAGTGAAAGACGCTAGAATTTTTAATGCTCTCAGTGTTTGCTTTTGATTTCACCACTCTCACTGCATCATAAGTAGATACTCAGCGTTCCAGTTACACTAAGGTCTTCCAACTTTTTGCGTGTAGGCTCGGTTTTTGCTTGACGATTTTCCTTTCATCATTGATGTCGTTGAGTGATGGTCGGCTCGACTCTCCGCTCCCATCAGGATTACAGAAAGTGAACTTTTTCTAGATTGGTCTGGTACCAATTTCCCCATCCTCCGTAGGATAGAAGACTTGGTGAGGCCGGTGTGGGATTGCGCTAACATCGTGCTCGTAGTGAACGACATAACTACCACTGAACTACTCGCCCCTGAATCGATCACAACTATTTGTATTTCGGTCAAAAGATCGACTTTCTATAAGCTTTGACCTGAATAATCGATATATTTATTTATATGTTCTAATGAACCGATCTTGTTGAGCTAATTCGAGGTTGGTATAAGTTGTCGTTGTTGTTACTCGATGGCTGACGTCTTCGCGATTTCGTCTTCTTCAGAACAGTAACGTTGCGACTGGAACTCTCATTTGCATTTTGATATTTGAGAAGTCATGTTTGTTCTAAGGTTACGAAAAGGTAGTGCTGATAAAGTCTGGATTTGGTAATTATTCAATATATACACGTTGCTCTCAACGTAACATCGTAATGGATAACGGAATGAGAACGTGCCAAAAAATCTGTGTGTGCGATATCTGGGAAATAATTTCGACGAGTTTCATTCATTCATAGATCCATGCGAAGCCAGAACAGTTGACTATTAAGTACAGATTCTAACCTGAATGATGTATTCATTTACTGACCTGGAAAATCAGACGGACGGTGACGACCATATGGGAACCCTACTCTAAATCTACATATCTTCAAGGAGTACAGTGACGACAAGACTAGAGTCAGAAATTCTTGCTTACATATAACACTGAGCAATATGGTAGGGGTATAGTTTGTGCAGAGTAATTCAAAGTTACATAGATAAGGAGTTCATCATCAGTATTTCCCATCTTAAGGCTTGTATACGGTCGCATTTAACAGCTTATGCGCCACCTAATGCCTTCATATAGACTCCCGTGTAACCTAATGCAAGCCATCCACATTGAAAAGACGCAAGGAAATCACAGCAAAATTCATAAGTCTATTACTAAAAAAACGTGTTACATGAACCTCGCTATTTAAAGTAAATGTTAGTCAATTTTAGACTGCGAAGTTGAGAAATTGTCTAAAGTTTAAGCAACAATTTAAGTGTAGCATTCCAGATTGCCGAATTATTCATCTGTAACGAGCGATGCATACAAGCAGGAATTGGTTATATTCCAAGTCTCATTATGCTTTTATCCTTTTCAATTGCATTCATCAAAAACTGTCTAATGTAAACTATGCAAAACAACATAATAAATACGTAGATGTCTTTATCTAAAATCTACAAGAAATCCTTTTACATGTTTTCTCTCTGAGAATTTCTCAACCCGGTATTGATATGATGACAACCAATATAACTTTTAATTATGCTTAGATGTTTGCAAAACTCTGGACCACAGGTGTCTGCGGTGGGGAACGAACACGCTATTGTCCATTCCGGATGCGGATCCTTGGTTTCGCCTGTCTATCAGCTGGTTCTATAGATCTTTCGCCATCAGCAATCACCCATCAGCGGAATTGATCTGGGAAGCCCAAATCGTCAACGAACCCAGTTAAGCTGCGGCTGCAGTTATAATCACAATTTTAACTTATTATTTACTGCCTACTCTTTTTAACGGCAAGGTATATTGCAAAATATAACTCTAATGGTGCTGAGATATTTGCAAAACTGTGTTGTATCCTCGATTTCGAGTCCCGGACACAACGAGCTTTCGCTTTTACAGGTATCAGCCCACTAGAACCAGACCTTGCTGAGAGGATAAGAACACTGACTTGATTCAATGGAGGGTTACCGAACGCCACGGTACATACCAGATATGCACTGTAATCGTCAATCAGATCTTTCACGAAGTCAAAGGCATAGGGGTTTCGCAGGGATTCATCAACGCCGAATTTTACAACTATAGCAAATCATGAAATATCAGGAACACAATTATTCGATGGCACGCCTTGTCCACGAATAGAAGCATGCCCTTTGATTGCTTCGAGTGAGCAAAATCAATAGGACCACGATGGGGTCGATTCATCATGAAGAAGGGAATTCTTTTGGCTGATTGATAAACAAACGTAAAACCCAGTTACCTTTCAAGTTCGTATACAGTTCATTACATGATATTTACAAGTAACCGTTTAACGCACAGTTATTCGTGTTCTTCGCCTTAGTATTTTCAAATTCCATTTCACGCAACGCTAAGGTCACCTATCAAACTCTGATATTCACTGTCTCAAATTTCCGACCTTAATAAAACACACCAAATTTTTTGCAAACTAATGAGAAAAGAGAAGAATCATCCCCATATGAAAAAAACGCCTTTTATAGTGTAGTGATTGCGGTCGATGTAGCATTGTTGTAGTGACTGAGATGCTACTCACTATTTGTAATAGTCCCCATATACGGTGGATAATAATCCATGGAATTGAACATCGGATATGGTAGAGGTTAACTAGTTGATTAGTCGTTGCGATATCTCTGCTCGACTCTCGAAGGTGCATATGTGTCGTTGTGTCTACTATTTTGACGTTCTGTAATATGTAGGTGCTCTCAAGTTTGAGAGGCTGTGAGAGACTGAGGGTGGGTCAAAACACGGAGATTATAATCTTAACCCTTTTATTTACTGCCTTTTTCTTTTTAATGGCAGGGTATGTCGCGAAATATAACTCGAAATAACTGAAATATTTGCAAAACTCCGGACCGCAGGTGTATGCGGTGGGGAACGAACGCGCGCTATTGTCCTCTCCGGGGAGTAGCGCACTTCACCACCACACCATCCGGGTCCTTCGTTTTGCCTGCCTTAAAAGGAAAAGGCAGTAAATAAGAGGGTTAAGATTGTGATTATAACTAAGCCTCAGCTTAACTGGGTTCAACGCCGATTTGGGCTCCCCAGATCAATCCCGCTGACGAGTGTCTGCTGATGGCAAAAGATCAATAGAACTAGCTGAGAGACAGGCAAAGCGAAGGACCCGGTTGGTGTAGTGGTGAAGTGCGCTACTCCCCGGTAAGGACAATAGTGCGCGTTCGTTCTCCACCGCATACACCTACGGTCCGGAGTTTTGCAAATATCTCAGCATTATACTAGTAATCAGTACTGTTTAGTCAAGTGATCACAAGTGTCACCTTGATGGACGTAAACAGCGTTTTCATCTATGTGATGTTATTCACCTGTATCACCTGCAGTCTGCTGATTGTCGAGTTACTCGAGCGGGCGCCAGTAAATCTTTCACTTTCCTCTGTCGCGTAAAAGAGTAGCTCAGTGGGTTCTGCTCGCTCTGAGGACTCGTCGAGCATCATGTCTTTCTTCAAGGTTCTTTGCGAAGAACTCTGACCATCAGGTCGGCGGTCCTCCTGGAGCACCTTTGATATCCCGAGGATTCCAGCCACTAACGGCTTTTGTCCATCGGTTGTCATTCATACGCATTACGTGTCCGGCCCACCTTATCTTCGACTGTTTGGCGCACAGAACGGCTTCTTTGATTTTTCATCTCTGACTCAGATAGGAGCTTCGGATCCCATCCCTTACTTGTGTGGAACGGGATACTCTTACCATTGTCCTTTTGACTGCCCATTCGATAACGATGAGTGATCTTTCATCCTACTTACACAGCGACCAGGTTTCTGATGCATACGTTAGGGTTGGAAGGACCGTTGAATTGAAAACGTGGGCACGGAGTCAAATGTTCTTTGTCCTCTTCACTATATACTCGATGCCCATGAAAGCTCCTGAAGCCGCTCGTTTCCTTCTCCATAGCTCTGGAGCTAAGTCGTTCAATATATTTATTTCCCAACCTATATAGACATAACTGGAACATTCGGAGACATTCGTTTTGTTGAGCGTGAATGGAGCATACGAAACCAATGTTCCTCATAAACGTCGTTTTTGTGGCATTTAGCTGAAGACCAACCTTTCCACAGCCTTAATCAAAGTCGGAAGGTATGGGTACTGCTTGGCTAATGTTTGGTGTTAAACGGACGATGTCACCAGCAAAGCAAAGATCATGCAACTGCCGACCATCAACTTTCACTCCAATATTATCCCATTCCAATGTTCTCATGACGTTCTGGAAGGCGGCGGTAAATAATATTGGGGAGATGGTATCGTCTTGCCTAACTCCTCTTATGACGTCAATGTTAATATCGTTACAGAATGGTGATATCTTGGTTGCGAAATTTTTGTACAGCTCACGAAGAATCTTTATGTACTGAGTAGGGAATCCTTGACTATGAAGAACATCAATGACTACTTCTACCTCAGTTGAATCAAAGACCTTCCGTAAATCGATGAAAGTGAGACAGAGGGGTCTTTTGTACTCTAGAGATACTTCAGTGAGCCTTGTTCTCGTGTGGATGCGGTCCGTCGTACTAAATCCTTCTCGAAACCCTGCTTGCTCACATGGCTGTCTTTCGTCTAGTGTTCTGTGAATCCTGTTTAGGATGACTTGAGTGGAAAGTTTGTAAACGACAGACAGTAAGCAGATTAGGCGATAGTTCCTGATATCATGTAGGTCACCCTTCTTGAACAATAACGCGGTCTTGCTGGTCTTGCACTGAGTAGGAACCTTGCATTCAGACAGCTAACGCGTGAACAGCCGATACAGTGTCTTCATGAGGACTGACGGAAAATTCTTCAAATGTTTAAATCTTATCCTGTGCGGACCTGGTGCTGTTCGATTTTTCACTAACGAAATAGCATGTCGGATTTCCAAACCGAGAACCGGTGGTACAACCCACCTATCCTCCTTTATTTCATAGGAAGGAAAGAGGGCGTGGCTCTTGAAGAGATCTGAGTAGTATTCGTCTATGATTTTCTGCATTTCTCTTCTCGACGCTGTTACTGTTCCGTTTAGGCGTTGGAATGCAGTAATCTCGGTTTTGTATGTGGGGAGCTTCAGTGAGCTTTGCGAAAGCTTTTTTCAGCCTCTGCAGCCTCAGCCAATACTTCTGCTCTTCTCTCTCTAAGATCTTTTTTATCCCCTTTCTGCTTTGTTTTGCAAGTTCGAACGTTAGTTCGCGGTTGCCTGCAGCTCGTGCGATTCCACGCTGCTGTATCGGCTCGAGTGTTTCTGGAGGCAGACGTCTCTTGGTAGCTTCCGAACTCTGAGCTTTCATAGCGCAAGCGTAAAGATGTTGAATGAACTGATCGTATACCTCGTCGATATTATCGACAACGGCATCTTCCTAACAGCTGACTAATGGATCGAATAAATCCCAGTTTACGGTGGTGCTGGGACTTCGGTTTTGGAATTTACCAGCTTTTTCTCCTTTCCGCGAGAAATAGAATCTTGTACGAAAGAGACGATGGTCTGATCCCGTGTGGAATTTTGGGACAACAGCGGCATAGGTTAGGCAGAACCTTCTATTTACTACGATGTGGTCTATTTCGTTATGGTACCTTCCACTGGGAGACTCCCACGTCCAGCGCTGAGGGTGGGGCTTCCGAAATTGTGAGTTACCATGGATTGTCTTGGTCACCATGATAAACTCAGATAGCCGCTCACCCTGTTCGTTCCATTCTAATCTATGGGTCCTAATGTGACGTTCTTCAGACGTTCTTCTTAGTCCAATCTTGGCGTTGAAATCTCCAATGATGACCTTAAAGAATGTGTGGTCTTCTCTGAAGAACTTCTCCAAGTCCACATAGAACGCTTCGGCTTCTTCTTCGTCATAGTTTGATGTCGGGGCGTAAATGACGGAGATTGTCAAAGCGAGAAACCACGTCTTCTTAATCGCAAACTTCCAATTCGTGTTGCAAGTTGTTCGAATGAATGGATGTTCATGGACAAACTCGTGTTAACCAGAACTCCTACGCCGCCGAATCCCCTATAGTCGCATGCTCCGAGGAACATTTCTTCTCCGGTGTCATAGACGGTGTTGAATGGGTGGTGTCTTCTCGTCTTGGCTAGGCCGATGACGTCGTACCTTATCCTTGTTGCTTGCATGAGCAAGTCTTCTATCGAAGACTCGGATGCAAGTGTACGTGCATTGTAGGTAACGATAGTCACCTTAGTTCTTTGCAGTGCAGGCAGCTTCCGTTGGCACTGAGATTTTAGCAGCCTCTCAGTACTCGTCCTACCCAACGCTGCGAAATTGGGGGCCCTTTCGGGGTCAGGAGAATGAGGCTCGTTTTTTTCTTACTGTTTAGCACTTTTGATACACACGTAGCTGGGCTCTGAACGTGGAGGCTAGGTATACTCACGGGTAGGTTGTCAGGGTCTCCCAAAGTGGACATGGAGCTTATTTGTTGGAGGCAACTCCTTACTGCTTCCCATATACTTTCCTGTCACTAGATTGCAGGATTTTGGCCAAATTGGCTCATAGAATACAATCCGCATAGGCAAGAACACACCCACACGCATGCATGAATACGCCTAGCAAATACAGAAAGTATGTGTCAAATCGGCGCAGCACAAACAGGGAGTCCATCAATCGTGGTGTGATATTAATATATATATATATATTTATATTTATATGATCTTATAAACTGATCTTAAGTTGGTGCGAGGTTGGTATAGGTTTTCGTAGTCCTTGTTGTTGTTGTTGTTGTTGTTGCTCTTGTTCTTGTTGGTCGATGGCCGACGTTTTGGCGATTCCACCTTCCTCAGAGCCTAGACGTATTTTATTCAAGAACACTCCAATTATTTGGTAGAAGGAAAGGCTGAAGTACTAATCAAGATCAAACTTTTAGATGGACACCATATTGTTCAAAAAAGGCTACTCACCATGGTGTTCCGAGTGAGACTGGCCTACGCATGCATTGTTCACGTGGGGTCGCCAGCGAGACACCCCAGGGCCAAAATATCATTTTGAAATAGGGCGCCAGGTCACGCGTGTTAGTGAGGAATTCGTCTTTCCGGTTCATCTTTGGATTTTTGGAATTTATCCAAAACGCCTCGAGAGTATTGCGCGTTGATGTTCATGTTTCCTGTGCTCCGATCCACACACTCACTTCAAAATCACGGCCGTTGTGCTTTCGTACCTTATATTTACCCAGAAGAGTGGTTTGACTAGTTTTATTTCTCTTATATTTCTCCTATACAAAGCGGTCTACCCGTTTCCCCAATATATTCCTCACCGCATGCGTTACATGAGATCAAGTATGTAATACCTAAACTCATGCAAAAATTTAAGCGGAAAAAACCAGCCGAAAACTGGCTTCCATTCTTAAGCAACCAAATAAAAATGGCTATATAACAAAATGGTATCGCAAGCCAAGCAATAAAAACATGCTAGTTCACTACCTCTCTTCTCCTTCTTCACGCGTGAAAAAATCACTTATCAAAAACATGTACCGTACGGCTAAAAATGTGTGCACAGAAGAAGGGGAAAGGAAGGAATCGCTAAAGCTGGCACGAAAAATAGCCATTTCCAATGGCTACGAAATAGAAGCCGCCCGGGTTAGAAAAAACCGTATGGTATTTCCCAAAATAATGTTTCGAACGTAAGTGTGATCTTTTTTAAGCTACAATTCATATCAAATGAAGTAAGTTAAGCAATTAAGAGATGCTTAAAAAGTCGTGGTTTTGAAAATTATTTAACGATTATTAGTATCCCACCCAATATTCTACGGCTTCAGTTAGTTCGCAACCGTCTCTTTGATCGCCTCTGCACCTCGGAAACCTGTACGATCTGTCCTAAAGGGAAAGACGAGGATTTCATGAGTTCCGATACAATATACTTGATTTCGTATAAGGCAAGGGGTGAGGAATACACTGGGGAAACTGCAGACTGCTTTGTGTCCGCATAAAAGAACATGCAGATGGGAATGTCAGAAGACGCATGCCTCAATAAGCAGACACGAGTTTGTTATTATAGAATTTATTAGGATACAATGGCTGACGTTTTGGCGGCCTCGCCTTTTCAAAGCCTGGAAAGGTTAAATTGAGATGGGATCTACTCAGCCAAACACTTTAACCGTAGTAGATAAAACTTAACACGTAAATTTGCATTCACATAAGAAACAGCTTCATTACCCACCGTTTATTCCTTGGAAGTATTTCAGCTAGTTGGTAGATAGCAGCCGCACAGAGTAATACATGGGCGAAGACTGTGTCTGTGTCAGCTCATTGGATTAGCCAGAGGTAAGGCACTTGGTCACACCTGATGACAACACACTCCTCCTTGCAGTTCGTTTTTGAATTTTTGGAATTGATCCAAAGCGCATCAAGTGTTTTTTATGCGCTGAAGTTTTGATGTGTATGCGCCTTCATATATATATATATATACATATATATATATATATATGTATATAGATAATACTTTGCCATATCTATATATATGTTTCTAAAACTGCCCTTTCTTTAGCAGACACTTGTTATAGAAGTTCTTGTCCTCCTAACGTCGTGGCTGGGTGTGTTCCTGGGTGTCGGACTTCGCTGTACATCTAGGGATTAATCCGCTGAAACGATCTACCAAGTTGAGAGCAAGAGTCCGGGGGTTCTATCAGGAATGCCCAGCTAAGACTAAACCAATACAAGGATCTACCACCATCCTGGTATCAAAGTCACGTGGTGAAAATCTCTTTCCGATCAACAAAGGCTGCGACTGCCTGTGGTGGTGAAGACCTGAGGCAGACTTTGGCCAGACTGGCCTCGGGATTTCAAGAAACCAAAGTGGCTGAACCAGCAAATCTCCGAAAAATGGAGGTTATGCTAGAGGCGGCACAACCAATGAGAACGGGTGATTCAAGTATTAAGTAAGTATTGTTGTTGTTGTAACGGCTCACAGCTCAAGGATGTGAGGGGCGTTCGCGAAAGTGCGCAAGAACTATGAACCGTTTGTGAGGTGCCTCAAACTTGGGTAATTAAACCATTATTAGTATACACATGTTGCTTACACGACAACGCAAGGCGATACACAACGTCTGTCCAACAACTGCGAATGAGGTGGCTCAGTGAGTTTGTTACCTAATAAAACACATTAACAATAGTACAAACACCAATGTAACGGCTCACAGCTCAAGGATGTGAAGGGCGTTCGCGAGAGTGCGCAAGAACTATGAACCGTTTGTGAGGTACCTGTGAGCAATGAACGTATTTAACTTATGTTAACACGGATAACATAATTACACGAAAACCAACGATAACATTAATGTGTCAGCGATTCAAGGGCTAAGGATTACAAGTACTATCATTATGACCTAAGGAAATGAATCTGCAAGGTAAAATCAAACGGGGTGGAATTAATGATGGAGCTGGCGAGGACGGTCTCCACGACGTCATTGGGTCAAATGGCGGGACTTCTGGGTGTGTCCCATGGCTAGAACGGGATATGGACGCAGAGGACGCGTGCGGCGTTGCAGTCACGCGATCCCCATCGATCCGTGGACTATATTAGTTATGCAGATAGAGGATTCTCTATCTGATTAGGGAATTCTCTATAGTTGTTGTCATTGTTCAATGTCCGACGTTTCGACGACCTCGCCTTCTTCAGAGCCTGGACGTATCATATGTAACAGTAGCTCCATTGTTCAATGAATTATATAGTATTAGTGAAGATCCAGCATATGAAAGGATGCCCATTTTCAAAAACCTTGCCGTTGAACCACCCGCATGTTGTTCACGAGGGTTGAGTTATTATCATATAACAACATTTTCTTTTTGAGATCTTTTCTCATATGATTATCTCTTGAGTTATCTGGTCATATGTTGATTATTCATTTAGTGATCTAATATTCGGCTCCATAGAGGTAGTCATAAGTGACTGTTAGAACGTACGGCAGAGAAATTCAATCCCTGGCAGGGTTTCCAAACTGAGAAGGAATCCATTTCCTTCAGAAAGCACAGGTAAGAGCAAACCAATACCGTGATCCACCACCGTCTTGGTATCAAACTAGTCGCATTATGGCACATCTCCCTCCTATCCGCAAGAGTTGTGACTAACTGTGGTGGTGACGACCTGCAGCAGACATTGGTCAGGCCGACCTCGGTACTCCAGAGAGCTACGATGGCTAAACCAACAAGACAGCGAAAAGATGGAAATTATGCTAAGACCCACATAAGTAGTGAAGAGTAGCCATCTAAGCAAGTATCTGGACATGTGTTCGTTTATGTAGTTACTTAGTCTCCGACGGCATCTCAGTAGGCATAAACCACTAAGAGACAGCATATAAAGTAGAGTTAAAAATAAAGGATAAAGCTCTCGACGTTGGTTAATTCTTGAGGGATGCGCCACGCATTCGACTTCATAAAGCATCGTTTGGAGGTGACTGCATGTATATCTGGTCTTCACAATGGTCGCCGTGGCCTATATACATATAGCCAGTGCTGCTATCTTCCCAGACAAGTCTAGTACTAATCTGCGTCCCTGGAGAGATGAAAAGCTTGGTGGGCCATGGACGCAGGGGTCGATTCCACGCACGCAGGTGCAGCAAGGCGTCTCCGACCACTGCTCCGCACGCGCTCTTAGAATAAAGCTACTATAAAAAACTATCGTGTTCCATTGAAAGTTTTTCTTGTTCGACTTCTCGACGTTTTTACTCCTGATAGGCGAAATATAGCAGCTGTGATAGAATCTCTGCGCGGTAATGTTCTTTACTAAAACACTCCCCAATTTGACTGTGTTCTATCATCTTTTCAGTATGAAATAAACGACAACGGTTCTGTTAAATGGTTTATTCCAAACAAATAGTACAAAATTCGATTAAAAATATCGACGTCATTGACGATGCTCGCCTAGAATGCTACATACTCTCAGAAGGTTTTCAGGTTTTATAGGACGGCTATTTCTTCTCTATTTGTTTACAACCACTTGTAAAGAAGAAAAGCAATCAATAGAAAACTGGATCTTCTGTGGCCGGCGAAATATTCTTTACAACACAATTGTTTTTTACAAGTTATTAAGTGGCACATAACACAGCACATTTTAATGTAAATTTGCTACGTGACGTTTCATGAATGAGACCGACGGAATTCAAAGGGAAGAGTCACGTCAAAAACATTTTTAGTGTCTTCATAATCTGAAAAAATAGTGGGCTATAGTTCGTTCTGCTTATCACGAAGCCTTAGCGAATTGTTCTTAACCATTGGTAGACTAAAGTAGAGTAAAAACCTATCGCTTCAATTGCAATCAATCTCTCACCCACCCTCACATCCACGGTTCCTCGATGTTATTTATTCCCAATTCGAAGCGTACATTAAAGGAATAAATACTCTTATTCAATTGACATCACTTAATCAGCCCAGCTTTCTATAGTATACGCAACGGAGCTTCTTTAAAACATTTACGGTCCCTACATTTCAGAATGTCGTAGTTCTACATTATCTTACATCATTGAAACGATGGAAAAACAGAGTCCTCTACTGAAGACAGTAAATAGCCACAGCATAACGATGGCGACCGATTCTGACACAGTCGTCCAAAGCAGACACCGTGAAAAACATAAACGTTATCAATCAGACAGAACGACCATCTCACACGGTGCGTGCTTAGAGGTATCATGCAACACGCCCATGGTCACCTGCATTGAAAGTCATCGGCTTGATCCCTCGCTCCAAATTAACCAGACCTCCATTCCTCAGAGATGGACATGTTGGTAACACATTTGTCTAAGAGGAAAAAAGCGCTAACATAATATATTGGTAGGCAGTAAAAGGCACTATGTAAGCCCAATATGGATCTGACACTCTGAAACGCTTGTTGGAGTCCAACGCATACCATTGCAATCTCCGAAAGATAAGTCAACGTTTCATGCTTTATCCTTATTCGTCGATACATCATACTATGGCGTAGTACTGATGGCGCTTTCAAAGGCAACCATAAAGGAGCAAAAGTCACTTACCTCAGACATTGTTGCTCTCTCAGGTGATTCTTTGGCGAATACACGCAATGCGAAAAAATTTCGCAGTCGTTCAGGGCAAGTATTAGGGAAAACTAAGAATTTTCCACTCACCACCTAAAAAGACAACTGAACGAGGTTGTAAATAGAAAATTCATCCGGGTTAATCAAATATTATTCGTGGGGTGGCACATAGTTTGCGTAAAGGCGAAAGCTTGTAATAAATTTCCGTACCCTGTTAAGATTCCCTGTGTTGTATTAAACAGCAAATGACTTGAATATTCTGCAAGAATCCAAAATCGCAGCGCGTAAAGCTCTTGAGGCGTTTTAAATGAATTCCACAAGTCGGAAAATGGAACAGAGAAAGGAGAGCACTGTGATCACACATGGCCCCGCGCGACACCTCAGGATGGTTTTTTTGACCTGTGACAACCACGTTCTTCACTTTTGTAAATTCTTTGTAACTGGTATCCACCAAATAGTTGGAAGATTTTTATAAAAATAGTTTGAAGGAAGCCGTTTCCCATACCACTAAGAATTAGGCACCGAGTTTTCTGTCGAGGTTAAGACAGTTTTTGACTAAGTAGATTGCGTGTCGCTTCGCCACCTTTTCCAGACGGTGGAGATCGCGAAACCACCGAAGCATCAGTTAGTGTTTAATAAATCTTGTTTTTGACAACCGATGCTCAAGAAGAAAACGATATCCAATGTGTCACGAAATTTACGCATTTATATGGTGTGAGAGTCAGAGAACGAACCGCGACTCTCACTTCGGCGTTAGTCATGCCGTCCCACGGTTCACCTCCGTTGCTGAAAATCTCGTACGCTAATACTCCAAAACTGAACACATCCGATTTCTGTGAGAAGGTGAACGTTTCGAGTGATTCCGGTGCTAACCATCTTATGGGAAGCTTCATTGGTGCTTTCAATGTGTACTGTGTTCCCAAACGTGAAAGTCCAAAGTCACTGATCTTCACCTGCAATGCACAAAATACATGGTATATCCAACAAATATGAAATCATGGTTTTTTAAACTTTTATTAATGGCCTATTCCTCTTTTATGGCATGTAACACACAACCACGAGGATGCTGAGACATGAACAAAACTTGGCAGCTCAGTGGGCATCGAACCTGCAACCACCGTTTCCAAGAATTACATGCTTTCCACTGCATCAACCTAGACCTTCGCTTTGCCTTTCCCTCACCCAGCCAAAAAGAATAGGCAGTGAACAAAAACTAAAACATTGTTATTTCAAATACAACCTCAGTTCAACTGAGGTGCCTATTTGTGCTTTTAAAATCATTCCCATTGACGGGTGATTGCTGAGAGTACCGTAGGGTAAAAAACTGGCTTTTAAGTTTTAGTTTATAAGTTTACCATGTAGAACATCTAAAATTCACTAAAATTAACAATCATTCTAATCCGATCACAAACTCTTACCACTTTGTCTTCAGTGATGAGACAATTCCTAGCGGCAAGATCTCTGTGTATGCAATCATTTTGATGAAGATATTCCACTCCCGAACCAGCACCAACACATAATGAGATCTTCTCCTTCACGTTCAAATTTACGCCGTGCTTTCGAAGGAACGAATTCAGAGCTCCGCCTGGAAACTGAGAAATGATGTTAAATTATAACTCTTATGATCTACAACCTTCTCGATCAATCAATACCTCATTTTCCTTTGAGCTTCTTGTTATTATTACATTCCAGGTTCATTTCGGTGTTATTCGAAATTTACATTGAAAACCCTTTCAAATCGTTATCATCATGTTGTTTTATCAGTGCACATTCAGTATCCACGACTTATCAGCCAGCTAGAGCTTAGTTAATCAAATAAGTAGTAAATGTGCTTTCAGTTAGTTAGAAATTCCTCCTTCGACTATTCTCCGATATAAAGTACGTCGAACCAATAAAGAACTGTGAATGCTTTTTTGCTAGAATCTTCATGAAAATAAGGTGATGTAAAGAGAACATAGAAGCTCGTGTGACGCAGTGGTCGGAAGCGCCCGGCAACACACATGTGGAAACGATACCCACGCCCATGGCCAACCAAGTCTTCCATCTCTCCGGAGTGGGCAAATTGGTACCAGACTTCTCTAGTAGGATAACGGCATTGGGTCGATACATCGGTAGGCCACTGCAGGCCATTGTAAGAGCCATACATGCATTCAAACACCTCCAAACGATGCTTAATGAAGTTGAATACATAGCGCATCCCTCAGGGATTGACCAACTCTGAGAGCTTTATCTTTTTTTAAAGGGAAAAGTTATCCTAAAACCTTCTTATGACTTTTCTAGGATTGATCGGAACGAGAACATCACAAGAAAAGGACATTTTTAACATATCAGACATACACCTCTAACTATGCTTCTTGCAGCAAACACCAGGACCAAATTTCTATTTACATCAGCACTGATATCAATAACTCATCCTTTTTCTGATGAGTAGACACAGACTTGTTTGGTATCATGCCATTTATTCGCAATAGCCGACATCTCGGCGATTTCACCTTCTCCAGAGCATAGAAAGCCATCTACTCAGTCGTACATTAGCATAGCCTCAGCAGATAAAACTTAACACATAAATTTGCATCCGCACACTAAACAGTTTTCTTTAAAGGCTTACCACTTTATTATTGCAAACCAACTTTCATTTAATATTGCTATTAACGACCAATATACCAGCTTTCATTGATAAGCTAACGTTTGGACTGACGAGGTTGTTACCAAACACTGCTTCCGCTGCTTCAACCTCTTAGTCTTTTTCAGAGCCGATGATCCGAGTCTATGACCACAATTTCTCGCACTCTCGATGTGGTGTTTCCGTCGTCGCACTGAGTCCAATCTTCTTCAGTGAAGCACTGCTTGAATAAAGCAAGCTCACCCGGGGATGCTCGTTTATCAACTATCAGTCATCAAACACAATGACTCTAAGATATTTGCAAAACTCCGGACGGCCGGTGTCTGCGATGGGGATCGAACACGCTATAACCCTTTCCGGGAGCTAACGCGTTCAGCAGCACACCATGCGCGTCCTTCGTTTCGCCTTTTTCTCAACTATTCAACATCACTGTGGTTGATTTCGCATAATACTCTGCAATGAAAATTGTAGCAGGCAGTAAATAAAAAATTTGACATTATCAGTTACCGGTTTTATGCGACTATCAACGGACAATGACTGTCAAAAACAACAGTCACGTGCCGGGCGGTCGCAGACCGTCGACTCGGGTCATCGGCTCTGAGGAGGACGAAAACGTCAATACATCAGGAGAAAGAACCTTTGGTACTCATCATTTCGTTGTTTAAAAATCTTCCAGTTATTTTTGGGAACCTGCCGCAGAAAGCCTTACATGGGTGAGGAATGTGCTAGGATCAGGTGAAAAAGCCAGCCTCAGGTGTGGCGCGAAGTCTCGCACATTCAGAAGAAACTCCTCCTTTTTGCGTTTTGTTTTTGGATTTGTGGAATTTTTCCAAACAGCTTTTTTAAGATTTTTGGAAAGTGAAGTTTTAGGTTCCCATGCGAAGTTAGTGAGTTTCCCTCAAAATGTTCGCTTATTTAATGGAGTGTTTTGTCTGGATTTAAGTTTCCCAACTAAGTGCTGGTTCATAGGTATACAGAGTTATCCACTTTCGATATGCATTTATCCCCGCACGCTTTACAAGGGATCAAGTGCGCCTCACTGGAACTGCAATCACCGTCTCTGCCGTTGCGTTAATTAAACAATTTTAGGTTGTGCACAGTTAATCATACAAAGGGTTACAAACTACTTAGCGTCTAAGAGTGTTCGGTAGTATTTCAACCACTTCCATCGTTTTCTCTATACCAGTTCTTTAAAGCAATATTGCTTTCTTTACTCCGTTGGAAACTAATGGCACTATGAATGGGACCTTATCTTCACTTGATGTATCGTATGGTGACATGCTTCTTCGTCCAAATCTTTCCCAAAAAGATAGAGTTTCGTAGTTAGTGGAAATGGGTATTTGCGGTGGGAAGTTCGGAGATTCTTCCCTTCACTCTCTTTCTATGCACACTCCGTTACGCAAAAATTTTGCGGCCTTCTGTGTGAAGAGTAATGAACCACAATGTTTTCGTTACTTGGCATTCGGTACTATTCGGAGATGAAGCGCCATTTGGATGGGTTATTGCGAACATTCAAAAACGGAGGCCAGTAACTTATCAGTTTATCCCTGGGTAAAATTTATGAACTCTGACTTTTCTTTGAGCAAATGAAAGCATTCGCTCATCTCCACTTGTTTGAGAAGATGACAAAACACTCGTGGATAAATGGACACAATAAAGTAGCCGCCAGAAAGCGAATGCAGGAGCCTCAACTTTAGATATGAATATAATGGGAAGGCTTGTTGCCAGCCGCTAGTTCACTGTCAACCCTCTCATTTATAAGTAATGTTTTCGGTCAATCTAAAGATTTAGCACTTTACGCACTATTCGAAGAAAGCCATTAATTACCGAATCAAGGACACAGACATGATTGTTGCTCTTTCGTATTCCATAAAAAGTTCCACAATGGCTTGCAAAGTGATGTCGCTCGACAAGCTGCTATAAGCGTTGGGAACGTCGAATGACGCCACCTCGTACACTTTGTCAGGACGCTCGTTACGTAGACGATCGAGGAACATTTAGGTTTTCATGGGATAGGCTGCAACGTAGTGAGCAACTGGATAAGTACCAGATGTTTAACCCGAACCCACGTTCTCCTCTTCCTTCCAACAGTTCATCGCCTCGTCGTGGCAGAAATGTGTTCCTGGGTGTCGGGTTGCGATGTAGTGGATTCATCCCTCCAGCAGGATGTCCCAAGCCGGGAAAGAGTTCGGCGTATCCACCAGGAAGCCTAGCCGAGTAAACTAATACCAAGATCCACTACTGTCCTTGTATCAAACTAGTGGCATAGTAGCAAATCTCCCTCTGATCCACGAGGACTGCGACTGCCTGTAGTGGTGGCGACCTGGTGCGGAATTTGGCCAGCATAACCTCGAGACTGCAGGATAAACAGTGGCTAAAGCAGCAAAACTCCAAAAAACGAAGACTATGGTGGAGCTCATATAGCCACTGAGCACGAGTCGTCGAAGTGTTCAAGTGAGTAAGTATTCTCTTCTTAGGGCTGTCTATAAAACAGGTGGATGGTATAACCTTGAACATCCCGATAATTCCAAAACCAAAATTCCAATAATGTTAGCTTTTTATTTACTGCCTATTATTATTTTTCATGGCAGGGTATTACGTGTGAAACAACCACAATGTTGCTGGGATATTTGTAAAACTCCGGACCGCAGGTGTCTACGGTGTGGAACGAATGCGCTATTCCCCTTTCCGGTGGCTAACGCGTTCATTACATCATGCGAATCCTTCGTTACGCCTGTCTCTCAGCTAGAATTCCAATAGTCCAAAAATTAGCCGGAAGGAGTGACTTATGATCACGCATGACCTTCTCAGCATACCTTAGGCTTATATTTTTTAACCTGAGATAGGGACAATTCTTAACCATGTAGATTCTATGTGGCTGGTTTCCATCAAATAACTGAAAGGCTTATAAAGAACAAAGCGGTGGTTGTTTAGAAATTTTGTTTACAATGCGGACGAAGTTTACGTATTGGGTTTTTTTATGCGTGGATTATGAAAGTGTTTGGCTGAATAAATTGCGTGTTAATTTGATCCTTGAAGACTCCGAAGAACGGTAACAGCTGAAATGTTAGCTATTGTGAATAAATAGTGTAATAAAAGCCTCGTGTCTTCTTATCAGGAAAACAATGAATTATTCCTTCATTGGTTCACTTTTCACCCTAGAAAATGGTGGTATTCTGCACTGACGAGCTGTGATGAAAACCACACGTTCGTTCACGACAAGTTCATTCAAGCTGACGAGTTGAGCAGTTTTCCTTGCAGATGCAAATTTGTATATGTGTACAATTGTATGTATACGTGAATAGTTATATGAGTAAGCCACTCTGGACAAGAATTGCCACTATCATAGTAGAAAAGCTGCACACCTCGTCGCTAGAGGGCATGGTGTCAACCTAGGAATGCCCTGAACACTATAACTCTCAATTTTGGAGAATACATTGGGCCTATACAATAGATTTCCAGTCAGATGAAAACTTAGTGAACTTTGTGATTATTCGCAAAAGTAGGTCATTAAATAAGCCTTGCTTATGAGAATATGTGAATCTTATGCTGTGATTTGAACGGACCGTTCACCAGCTCCAAAACGATAAGAATTGGATGTTCAGTAACTGCCACTCCATATAGATGAACGATATTCTTGTGCTACAAATAACTGGTAAGATCGACTATTCCATAACTCTCCGTCTATATTCAACAAAAAATTCCACCAACTTTCAATAGTCGCATCAAACGTGCCTCATTCATCATCTCCTTGATTTTCGCCTTTCCCATTTCCGAATGGCATTTCGACTAACATAAAAATTTCAATGCATAATTCAGTGAAACGTTTTGTGAGGTATTTAGTGCACGAATACGTGCTAAACAAATACACTTACGAATTTTTTCCTTTAATTGATTAATTAAATTTCTTTTACGGAAAATTGCCGAATGATTTATGAATGCCGTCACGGTTGCAGCGTATCCGAGTTGTTATAAATTCGCTAGTTATGAACTGAGTTCTAATCACAAACTTTTCGATTATCTTCTCTTGCGCATTTTAAAATTCTTAAAGCAGATCAACTGTTTCTTTCCCAGAACTTCATCTCATTCTGAATATCATCCACCTTTAAAAATGCCTCATTAAGGAAAAGATACATTTTTCATAAGGCAATCACCATCTTTTGGGGTTAAATATTTAATGCAATCAATACCAAACTTTAAACAATATTTTTGCGGAGGGTAACGTAGTGGAAGTAACGCTACTCCTTAAAAAAACGGTTCTGGCTCGACCTCACCCTAGGCTCATTGGGCTCTTTACCTCTTTGGGAAGGTGAAATTGGTACCCGACTTGCCTGGGGCAAGCTCATTCCATCTAATTCAAGTGGAAACGCTCTAGCACGGTTATTTCAGCATTTCTTGGATAATCTAAACGAAAACCATTTAATGATATTCATGAGGCGAAGCAGCAGCCGAACCCACATGCAAAGTGTTCGGAGATCTTCATAGATGAGGATGGAATAAAACGAATCAGATGCAAGGGCTAGGAAGGGCACAGTAAATGTTAGTATGGCTTGCGTAAATAGATAACGAAAAATATTTTTAGTACTACGTAAATTCGTTTAAGATCTTCACTTGTTCTAAAAAAGCAATGAACACTATATTGGAAACCTACTGTTATCTATGAACTGAAGAGTTCATTTAGCAACGTCTTCGAAAGAGCTTCAAAAATACTGCGATTTTGGATAATGCTCAATGTATTCTTTCAAGTGGGGGAAATTTCGAATTCGTTGATTGCTAGAGATCCCACCTTTGAAACTTTGTAATGATTAGCAATTCAATTGCATTTATTAACTTAAAGTATTCCTTTTAAAATGCTCTAATTTTAATGGAGAATGTCAGGGATCAACTCACAGACTAATTTTCATTACAAGCTACTTAAACTGGGAAACGAAGCACTGAACTGATGTTGAGAAGCCAGTGAAGAAACGTCACGTTTTCCCTCAAGGTTCGAGATGGGAAAAGAAGGGAATTATTAAATTGCTACATTACCAGTTCAATTTTTAATTATGTTTTCTAAGTTTTGTCTATCTTCTACAGCGCACTAAAGGGTTTATATAAAATACTGTGATTTGTGCTGTAGAAATGACAAAGTGGAAGTGTTAAATTAAACGTGTAGGACGTTCAGGATCACATCGCACTTTTCTGTTTGTTCTTTGAGTTTACTTGTTTCTGTTCAACAAATTTTAATTACCATTACCTGTTTAATAGCGACTTTAACAGCTTTGCCATTTTTTTGTCGAAGAGTACCCGCTCGCACCATCCCATACGCGCCTTCTCCAAGAATTTTACCCGGACAAATATCTGAGTGATGATATTCCCAAGATTGTGGTGGTATTGGATGTTGTAAAATGAATTCCGCCTACAACAAGCACTTTTTCATGGAAATATTTTCCGAACATTGTAAAGGGATCCGTTTAAAGCAATCGTTCAAGGTGTTTTCCAGCTCGTTCCAATGCCTAATCTTGGAGAAACCAAGCACTTCATTGTTCCGGAGTCTGCTGATTGGTACCGCAGTAGCCTAGGAGGTTTATAAAATGGCTACATCGGTCGGACAGGGCAATTCACTGAAAAAGCCCAAAATCCATTCAATAGCACGTTTCCGATGGTATGAATGGAGTAGGATATGCGGAGCATCCATCAGGATGCGGAGCTGGATCACCGCTTTATTCTCCTTATCTTTTATCGCTGTTTTGTTTTTTTTTCTTATTTCTTTTTCCACTTCCTAGGATACATATCGTACCACTCCACCATGTGATACGACGTTAAGCAGCAGTGACAATAAAAAGCTAAAGACAAGCAGCCAGAACTGTTATCACTGTTCATCAGAAGCTTCCTGACAAGTTTTCGGTTAATATTAATCTGTGTAAAGTCGTACAATAGGACTAATTAGCACCTACTCCGAAAAATAGGCAGGGTTTCTTCCTATAATAGTTTATCAGATCACAGAGCGAATTGAAAGCATGAGTGCTCTCAAGCATGTATTTTCCAGACTGCCGATGAATGATAATATTTTTCACCTGAACTGTTGAGTTTGTCTATAGAAAAACAGTAAATGCTTTAAAAGTAAAGCAGATATTAGATGACTGAATGAATTCTACGTTCCGTTTAAGAAATACCAAAAAACTACCAACTACCAAAAAAACGGCCATTTTTCCTTTCTTCGGCTTTCCTCCATTTGTTCTAATAGGTTTCCCAGTTTTTTTTTTTGTATTCTAGCATATGATTTCATACGTGACAAATTTGGATACTTGGATTTCCGCCCTCACTGGCTGTGCAGGTCTCATCATAATCTCCATTTTTTCGGAATTTTGGTGGTTTAGCCAATGTGATTCTCTGAAGCCTCGAGGTCAGCCAGGCCAAAGTCTGCCCCGTCACCGCCACAGGCAATCGCAGCATTTGTGGATCAGGGAGTGGTTTGTCACCATGCGACTAGTTTGATACCTGCACGGTGGTGTATCGCGGTATTGGTTTACTTCTAGCTAGGCTTCCTAATGGAAACGCTGAACTTCTTCTCAGTCTGGTGACCCTGCCAATGGAATGAATCTCTCAGCTGTACATCGAAGCCCGACACCCAGGAACATTTTCCAGCCACGGTAAGGCGGTTAACCGATGGGAAGAAACTATTTACTATTCTGATTTATACAATTATGTGTATTATATTACCTTTCCTCGCACTCGTGCGTATTTCTTTATGCCGTTTCGTTCTTCTTCTTGCTGTTCGTATTTCATCATTGCTGCTGTGTCTTTTCTTTTATCAGGTTCTCCTTCACAAACTACAGACAATATTATTTCTCTTTTCACTGGGTGTTGTGGATCGTGGTCTACCTAGAAATTCGAACTGTATCATTTCTAATTTTTTAATTCCCTTATTAAGTCGTTACAATTTGTACAAACAAAAAAACCGCTATTGATTACCTCACTTAATCTCAAAAGAAACTCTCCAACGTAATGTAGAAGAAATATTAAGTCTTCACGAGGAAGAAATCCATGATAAAAGCTCAATTCCTTTAAAACCTGAATTATGTTGATTAAGACACGAAGTCTGCTTTGAAAATAGCACGACGCGAGACAATGCAGGGGCTAATAGGCAAATCGGTAAAGCGAATTCGTTTTTCAAAAGTTATTTCATCATAACCATCCCTGTCTTTTCTTAGAAGAAAAAATTTCCAGCTTTTCGACAAGAACGCTTAGTTGCATTTGGAAGAATTTGCAGTACTACAGATGACCAATGAGAGCCTGCTGCAGCTAGTGTCACCGTATCATGCCAAAAGTGGTTGAATACGGTAGACTATTTATTCCCCCGAATAGTTCTTTTGTTTCCATATTGCATTATGTTTCCTATACTACCAATTTTGACTATTAACAACATGTACAACATACATCTTTGCCTTATATTGTTTAACAACTTTCAGTTCAAATTTCTGTGTAAACATTTCGCTGCCAATCCAATTAACTCTCTTCGTAGCCTTTGCTATCCCAATCTGATAAACTGTCAATCTATTAGGAAAATCTTTTAAGAGCAGTCTTTCTTGGTCCAACTTGTTTGCACACAGTGAATAAGCGTTTGTTGTGGTGTGCTTTCTGGGGTGCTCAGAAGCTACGTCAAAGCCTTGCCTATTAGATATTGAATACAATCGGCTCTCTATTCGGTTAGCGTCCCACCTCTATACATCTCCCTTTTACAGCTTCACTTTTAGTGCTAGATTTCATTTGCTATGCTCTTCTTCCATACAAGTAGCTTTAATCACTATCGTGCATTACTTTAATCACCGATACGTTAAAGCTGTTAAAATCGTATATGTGCTTCCTATTACGCATACCTGGTCGTGCCCTTATTTTTGTATTCTCTACGGCACCTGTTCCCCACATTACCTCACCAATTTATTACAGAATCTACTTTCTTATTCCAGTCTACTTCCTATTCTATCTTCACTTATTGATTCTGTTATCGTCTAACGGCTTATGGTGCTCTTTAGTTTCTTGGTATCGTCAAATGGTTGTTTCAGCATTTGTATATAAAGGTTTAATTACCAGAATTTTGTTCTCATTACTGTCTATGAAGGCTTAGTTAGCAAATTTAATTTTTTTCACAAAGGTTTGACCATTTAAATATGGTCCTGAGCAAATTTGAGACTTTGCTCTGTGACAACATCTAAACTCCAAGACATTTGGTGAACTCTCGAGAAGTTGAACCTGTGGTTTTCTTGTTCAGCAATCGCGAGGTTTTTAAACAGCATACATTTACTTCCATAAAAACACAATACAATACAACGCTAGCTGACGTATCGGCAGTATCGCCTTCTTCAGAGCCTGGAAGGGTATGCTGATGTGCAATCTACTAGGCCAAACGCTTCAATGACACTTACACAAAGACGAAAGACTCTTTGGTAATTACACGATCAACAAGAGTATCCCCGTTCAAGGAAGTGAACCAGTGAGCGTAACAGGAAGTGAACCAAGTAACAAGCACATTCTTGTTCACTTCCTTTCTTCCCACCCTTCACACATAAAGAGGGCGATTGTGAGAAACATGTTTCGAACAGCCACCTCTGTGTGCACTACCAGGGAACTAAAGGAAGAATCGCGCGACTTGGCCCGGCAAATAGCCATTTCCAATGTCTACGAAATAGTAACCCCAAGAGATAAGTTTAGAAGGAGAACGACGCGCCCACGCGAAACACTTGGCCAAAAGAAAGTCCCGTTCATGTTGCTTTTAATAAGCGATGAAGTAAGCGTAGCTATAAAAACGATGCTTAAGAAGGACAAGTCTAGAGGAATCGGTAGCGATAGTTGAAATACCACTGGCTACTCCACGTCGCCAATTAGTTCGCAACCGCCTGTATGACCGTCTGTGTGAAACAACAAATTGCGTAATTTGCCCTTTCGGCAGGGACGGTGATTGCATGGGTTCAGGTACGATATACTTGGTCTCTTGTAATAATTGTAGAGATGAATATATTGGCGAAACGGGCAGACCTTTGTGTATCCGTATAAAAGAGCACCTAGATGGCAAACGAAAACTAAGACGAAGCACCCCACCAGGCACGCATAGGATACAAAAGCATAGCGGAGACGATTTTGAAGTAAAAGTCAATGTCCTTGCACAGGAGTCCAAAACACCAGCGCGAAAACTCCTAGAGGCTTTTTGGATCAATGCCAAAAACCCTACAATTAATAGCAGGGACGAATGCCCGGAGGTCATACGCGACCTGATCCCGTACGTTCGCATCGGTTTTTGATGTGGGATGGTGCAGTCGTCAACCACATGCGACTATAATCAGCTGTTCTAAACTTCCTCATTGGAAGTCACGAAAAAGCGGTGGGTTTTTCGAGAAGCTGTTGATCATGTAATTACCATAGAGTTTTTTCGTTAGATTGTATATCAGCATACTCTTCCAGGCTCTGAAGAAGGCGATACTGCCGAAACGTCAGCTAGCGTTGCATTGTATTGTGTTTTTATGGAAGTAAATGTATGCTGTTTAAAAACCTCGCGATTGCTGAACAAGAAAGCGACACATTCATATTCCAATGCAGAGGTTAAGAGAAAGTCGATCCTGGGAACTTTTACAAGATGGATGTACCAGCAAAATACTTTCGACTTGTGAAAGAAGTTGAACATTCTCTTTTGAGCTACTGAATATTCGGTTCTATAAGCAAACTCGAAGAGCTGCATTCCACTGAACTAAATAATATACTATATACGATACAGCATCCTTTAGTTTTTGTTTTAGCAAAACTCTTTCCTTTCCAAAAATATTCCGGTTAGCAAAGGCACGATCTTTTAGCGCTTGAAAGGACTCGAAAAGATGGTGTGTAATATAGTGTTTTCCTGTAATGCCACGATAAGTAACCATGCCTATTTATGTTTGATACTGTAACACTCAAATTGAAATTATATTATGATCGCGCTTTCATTTTCTCGTCGAGTTAAACCATTGCATAAAGTAAGAACTGGTTCTCTATTACAATAAATTGTTACTTTTAATAGCGCTTTCAAGAAGATACTGCGAAAATGAATGCAAATATTCAGTCAGTTAACTTTATGTCATATAATAGTAAGACTCACACGTTCATCTTCTTTGTCAAAACCACTGTCCGTATCGCTTGCACTACGTATTTTTTCATCCTTAAGATATTCACGGTATTCATCAAATTCAGTCACAGTGGTGCTGAGATATTACCAAAACCTTAGGTCTCAGCGAATCTGCCATTACTCTTTCCGAAGGCTCACGCGTTACCTACTTCACAACCGATGCCCTTGGTCTGGCATTTTCTAAGCCAGTCTTTTTTAGCGTGGCGGTGCTATCAGTAATCGCCCTCAACGGAAATGATTCGGACTGCACAAATCGCCATTTCAACCAGTTAAGCTGGAGCTAAAGTCGAAATCACATGAGGGATGCGCCGTGCATTCGACTTCATTAAGCATCGTTGGAATTGACCGAATGCACATGTGGCCTTTACAATAACTCGCAGTGAGCTACCGATTTATCGACCCAGTGCTGTTATCCTCCCAGATAATTCTGGTGCTAGTTTGGCGAACCCGGAGGGATGGCGGACTTGGTGAGCTTGGACACGTGGATCGACCCCATGTGTATTGCAGGGCTCCACCGACCACGGCACTACACGAGCTCTATGGCAGGATATTATGTTAAATGTAGCCACAATGATGCTGAGATATTTGCAAAACTTGCGAACCTTAGAATAGCTTCCAATCCGCTACTATTCCTTCTGGAGCTAAAAAAACCGGCTAAGAGAAAAGCAAAGCGAAGGCTTCAGTGGTGCAACGGTGGAACGTGCTCACCAAGAAAAGGTAAATGGGTCCGAAGCTGGCCGGGGGTCCCGACTTTTGCAGGTATCTCAGCGTCACTTTGGTCGTGTTTCACATAATACCGTGCCATAAAGATGTAAAGGGTGCTAAGTGAGAAAGTTAAATATTGTGATCCATCAAATAGTTGCCTTCGCCTGCATTACCAGCTGC